CACGACTTCTTTACTTTATAACTGGAAGATTGCACCTATTCACCCCCTTCAACCATGTCAACTGTCCCCCCATCCATTTCCCCTTTGGCTATCTAGAGAGAGATTTTCTTTCTGGGTTCCCTCTCAGTCTCCCTGATATTGGGTGAAAACACTTGTTGGCACTCAGTTCTAACCCAGACTGGGCAGATATCTTAGCTCAAGCATTTTTCCTACTTTTACTTCCATTTGTCCCAGATTCCTACAAGAGACCAGGTGTCCAGCATAGAATTTTAGGGCTGGTCATCAGCCTCTAATCCCTTACTCTGGAACAAAAATCCTGGGTGAAGGTGAATCTGTGACAGGCCCAATGTCTCACAGTGAGGCAGAGGCAAGGGCTGGGAGGGGAACTGGGGAAAAAAAAAAAAAAAGGCAGTATAACAGATAACCACAGGTCTACCATGCGAAATTAGTGCCCATTCACCCTGGACTCTATTTGCTTTAGTTCTTGGTTAAGCAATAAAGTATCACAGCTAGGCTAACATTCCTTCCCCAAACTTCTCCTTTTCTCCCGGGAGTCTGGGAGTACCAACCACCCTGCCACTGGTGTCCATCCTTCCCGTGAATATCTGCGTATTTTTGCCATCGACTTATATACTGATAAATAGTATCGATGACTGCCTTGTAGGTTTTAAAACTTTGTAGCATTGTCCTCTTGTGGGTATTCGGATTGCAGATTGCGATTTTAATGAGATACAATTTATGTACTGTACAATTCACCCAAGGGTACAATTCGGTGATTTCTTTTTTTTTTTTAAGATTTTATTTATTTATTTGATAGAGAGAGACACAGCGAGAGAGGGAACACAAGCAGGGGGAGTGGGAGAGGGAGAAGCAGGCTTCCCACCGAGCAGAGAGCTGATTTCTTTAGCCCACTCATAAAGCCGTGCAACCATCCCTACTCTGTAATTCATAACATTCTCATCCCCCCCAAAGAAATGTATGCCCGTTAGTCATCCCGCCCGTTTTCCAGTCTCTTAGTCACCGGCAGCCTCTTATCTGTCTCTGCGGATTTGTCTATCCTAGACATTTCATGGAAATTTAATTTCACAATATGTGATCTGTCGTGTCTGGCTTCTTTCACTAACTGTAATTTTTCAAGATCCATCCGTGTTTTAGCATGGATCAGTTCTTCATTCCTTTTTATGGCCAAAGAAAATTCCATTGCACAGATATGCTACATTTTGTTTATCCACTCATCAGCGACGGGCTCGGAAGTCATTCCTACTCTTTGCCATGGGCCTCTCTGCACACGTTTTTGTGGGGATGTGTGTTTTCATTTGTCTGGGGCATACACACCTAGAAGTGGAATTGCTGGCTTTCACTTTTGGGGGAACCGTCAGACTGTTTTCCAAAGCAGCTGCACAATTTTAGATTCCCACCCACATGGCAAGAGGGTTCTGTCTTCTCTACATTCTCCACACTTCTGTTATCTGTCTTTCTGATTACAGGTGTCACAGTGTAGAAAGTGGCATCTCATTACTGGGCATTGTGTGCAACTGCTGAATCGCTAAACTCTACCTTTGAAACTAATAATACACTATACGTTAACCAACTGATTTTAATAAAATTTAAAAAAAGAAAAGAAAGTGACATCTCATTGTGGTTCTGACTTACATTTCCCTGATGACTAAGGATGTTGAGCATCTTTTTATGGGCTTATTAGTCATTTGTACATTTTTTAGAGAGATTCCACTCAGATCATTTGTCTGTTTTAAATGAGGTTGTCTTTTTATTGCTGAGTTCTAAGAGTTCCTTTTATATTTTGGACACTCTTCCCAAATGTATGATTTGCAGGAAATTTTCACTCATTCTGTGGGTTTTCCTTATACTTTCCTGACAGTGTCCTTTGCAGAACAAAAGTTTTCAGTTTGAAGAAGCCCATTCATCCACTGGTTCTTTTTGGTGCTTATGCCCCAGCTAAGAAATTACTGCTTGGGGCACCTGGGTGGCTCAGCCAGTTAAGTGTCAAACTTGATTTCGACTCAGGTCATGGTCTCAGGGTCATGAGATCGAGCCCCACATCAGGCTCCATGAGGAGCGTGGAGCCTGCTTAAGATTCTCTCTCTCCTTCTCCCTCTGCCCCTCCTCCTGCTAGCATTCACGCTCTCTCTCTCTCAAATAAATAAAATTTTTTAAAGAAATATGGGGTGCCTGGGTGGCTCAGTAGGTTAAGCATCTGCCTTTTGGCTCAGGTCATGATCTCGGGGTCCTGGGATCGAGTCCCGCATCAGGCTCCTTGCTCCGCGGGGAGTCTGCCTCTCCCTCTGCCTACTGCTCCCCCTGCTTGTGCTCTCTCTCTCTCTCTGACAAATAAAATCTTTAAAAAAAAGAAAATTATAAAATAAATGATGTTCTTACTAAGCATTAACACTAAAAAAAAAAAAAAACAACCCACTATTAAGATTTATGTCATTTCTCTCAGATGAGCTTTCCCTTCTTACCAGAAGGTGGCAGAGAGGATGCAGCTTAAACTCTTCTTCCCGCATTTTTAAAAGAAAAAAAAATTTTTTTTAAAGAGCAAAGCAAAAAATTCTCGCAACTGAAAACTTCTAACTTTTAAACATACAGATTTGCAGGTTCTATTATGTAATACAGTTATGAGAAATATCACCTAAGAGAGACCAGAGACAATCACTTTTGATACCCACACGAATTAAATAAAACATATTTGGCCATACCAAAAAACTATGAATCTGTCTAAAAGGTATGAATAGATGAGCTCATTATAGTTACTGGAAAATATTTTAAGGGCAACTGAAAAATAAAAGACAAATTTATACATGCCGCCAATTCACAGAAATAATCTCCATGTGCAATATGAAAATATAATTTTGTGACGCCCGTTCGAGTCTCTACCGCCCTCGTCTATAAGTGAAGGGCTGGATTAGATGAAACCCAAAGTCCCTCCTTCCACTAATGTTAGTGGTACATTTCCCACTGCCGAGACGACGGCAGGAAGGTCCCATACGAGCTAGTGACAGAACCGTCTATGAGACCCATTTTCTGACCCTTCCCCAACTTCCCCATCTGTCTTTAAGAAGACAGATCTCCAGAAAAAGCTACATTCGTATGGCTTTTGCCCATTAAGAAAACACAGTCCAGGTTTATTTAAAATGGCACATAAACTCAAAATGAGACGGGTTTATTTTGAGAAGATAGGGTCCTGCTGAGTCCCTGGGGAGCTAGTCCACAGGGGACAGCCGCCAGGTAAGCAAACAGCCAATGGGGCCGCGTCTGGCAGGAGGAAGGAGGGAGCAAGGAGGCAGAGGGCCCCCAACACCGAGCTCCCTTCAGGCCCCCGGGGAGCAGCGGTGGGGGGGGACACGAGGGGCTGCCAGAGTCAGAGGGAGGTCAGAGATGGCCCGCGTGCTCATGGGGCCTGGCGCAGAGAATAAAACCCAGACGCGTTTAACGGTCTTTGCTGGAGGCTTCCCTCACAAAAGCAGTTGCCACCGAATCCAGCCGCTGACTTATGACAGCAAATAATACACTACAATCCTTTCAAGGGCTCATCCCCCCACCCCCCAGAATGCCTGATTTTAAACTCTTGTGGAAGTAAGAAATGTAGAAATAATGTTAAAAGTTGAGGTTTCTCTTCATAGAAGTCAGATCTATTTTGCAGAATCCTCTGCAGGTGTAGGGCTCTAGAAACCCTAGCCCTTTGTGGCTTGGCAGCTGCAAAGTTCCGTTCTGCTTTTCTCCTCGGCGTGGCCCGGGAATGTGGGCCCCGTTCTGTAATGGTAGGTAGCGCTTTGCCAGAAAACTCACATACTTGTGGGTGGAGTCAGTTGGGAGGCTGGAGGGATTTTGCAAGTCTGTGAAGGCCAAACACTGCAGGGACTTCCAAGGGGTGAAAAATAATACCTTGGGGGTTAGCAAATTTCCACTGCCCGTGGAGCCAAAGGTGCAGCTCTGGAAACATGGCAAGAAACGGACCATTACAGGGAGTGAGTGCTGGAAGGTGGATGGAGGTGTCCTGGGCTCTCTTCGCTACATGTGCGGTCACTGTGTCACCGAGAGCAGCGTGAGGGCTCCCCGGGTCACCCTGCTCACCCGGGCCACGGCCAAAGTAAGATCCATCCAAGTGGCTGCAACTTACAGGGGCCCCATTAGCTGGAAACCAGGGAGACTCAGACGTCCCGGAAGTGAATCAATGCACGGTAAATCACGGGCATACGCTCTGTCCCCTTAAAATAGATCTTAATTGTGAAGAGGCCCCAAGGCTCCCTGAGAAACTGATCAAAGTTATTCACACAGCGCCCCTGACCCCATAAAATGGACATGTGTGCAGGCTATAATGTTGATCTCAGTATAGAGATGCGTGGGCCCAGGTTAAGAGAGAAGAATCTGAGCAAGAATGGCCTGACATTAAGGCAAGGTCGGACTGAAAGTGTTATTTCTATTAAAGAAAGCAGTCAGTTAGAAAGAAGGCTTCTCTGCCATGGCGAACAAAGCGGAATGAGCCACTGAGGCACAGACTGGTTATGCTTGGCTTAGGACAGTCCAGGATAGAGACGGCGTGGGCCGGGAGACCTCGAGATTCCCACCCCCAGACCTGGTTTTGCCTAGCACAGGCTCTGCCCAGCTGCAGGACACCTCCAACAGTTTCCAGCAAACCCCTCGCTGACGCTCTGCTCACCAGGCAACCACAGGACTAGAAGTTGGCTTGTTGTGTAGGTCTGCCCACAGCAACAGTGTCCTGGTCACGCCTGAGCACGCCAGCGTGCGAGGCAGTCATAGTCCTCACGGGAAACGGAGACATGGGCATTTTGTTTTACACCCTGGTCCCTTGAGTTGGTCTCACCCTTGAGAGACAGATCCACTCACACTTGAGTGAGACTCAAGACTGTTAAGCCAGTCAGGCTGAGGTCTGAGATGCCAAACTGAGAGCTGCCATCTCTTGCAACACTGGGCTGGCCCATGCTCCCTGCCCCCTCACCCCCGGAAACACCCAGACTTGCCTTTTACAGGACATCGGATTGTTACATCGGCTTGCAGGGCTGCCTCCACGACGCCTCCAACCACGACCGACAGATGGCTGTGTTCCAGTCTGCTGATATTTCTTTCGATAGACAAGATGGCAGGCGCCTCTTCATTGAAAGGGAGCAGGAAACTCTGTTAGGTTCAGGCTTTTGCTCTGGCAAACCATGCCGCATCTGGTAAACTTGGTAGGGCTCACTAAGAGCAGGGGCAGAGTTGGGCTCTCTCTGTCTCCCTCACGGTGCCCCATTAGGACTGGCACATACACGGCCCGGGGGGTGCTTAGTGCCCAGATGGACAGGTGGACAGATGGATGGATGAATGCATTCAAAGAGATACCCATGGGGTGTGCTGCAACAACCATAGATAGGCTATGAGGTTGTTTTGGTTTATAACCATAATTGAGGATAAATCCCTCTTTGATAAATTGAAAAAGAAGGAATTCAGAAGTTCGTAAGGAGCCAAGAACGCAGGGCAGGGTATCCCCTGGATGAACTAAAGCGGGGTCCAATACACCAGGGGCTTGGGACCCGCTGATTCTTTCTCTGGAAGGAACACTCGAAACAAACCTGCCTAAAACTTGCATGGAAAAATAATAATAGCAACAAAGTCACAGAGAATCAAGAACCTAATCAAGGACTTTTTATTTCCCTGGATTTTGAGAAACGTAGACTTTCAACAGATTCATTCATTAACTCACTCAGGAAATATACTCTGTGCCTGAGATGAACGACAGGAATACAAAGTTGGAAAACAGCCATTCTTGCCCTTAAGCAACTCCGGTTGGTGGGAGACACCAAACCACAGGGGCTGGTGGCTGCTGAGACAGAAGGAGGTGCTGGTTGCCCAGAGGTCTCTCAATAGCACGTGAGCGTCAAGGAAGGCCACATCCCGGAAAGGGTGCTGACAGGACACCCCTCTATGGAGGATGGAGGATGACCTCCATAATGGCATTCCCTACTCCACCATTAACACCTGAACTGCTGGAGGGTGAGGGCTGTTTTATCACCTATGCATAGTGCATGCAAAACGAATGCATTTCAGTGGACTCTTTGGTATTCACGTATTCAGGGGCTAGAGGACATGCTGTACCAGCTCTCTCAGGAATCTGGATTGTCCTAGATGGGCTTAAGGGGAGACTCGTGAGCCCCAAGGGGGACTGCCATTCCTCCCAGGAATTCCCGAACCTTGGGACTGACATTTTCTGGGAGGGGGCTGATGCTCACAGGAGGGTCGAAGCACAGAAAATCAAGGCCTGAAGGCCCTACCTTGGGAATGCAGCCAGGGGAGGAGCTCAAACCATACAGGTTCAAGAGCTTTTAAAAATCACCTGGTCCAACCTTCTCAATGTGTAGATATGAGGTACCTGCCACCAAGCTCAATGCTCAGTTGTCCCGAATGCTGGATTCTAATCCTTGGTATTGCTCCCCTCCTCCTCTTAGTCTCTGTGAGCCAGAGATACCAGAAACCACAGAGCAAAGAGCTGGAGGAGGGAGCTCTTGGTTTGTTTTTAACCCCAGAACAGGAGCTTGCCACAAGGAAGCAAGGAAGCGTTGCTTACCACCTAAAAGCATTCCTTCATAATTAAGCACATTTTCATGTTAAAATGACACCACCTCCCTCCTGGGAAGAAAAGCACTAATTTACAGTTACAACCTCCTGAAAGTGTTTTTAAGGACTGATAGGTATGCCTTTGGAGGTAGACAGCCCTCTTTAGAGGATAATTATTCTCTCGCATTGGCGGGTGGCACTTAAAAAAATGAGAAGCCTATACTATCCATGCTGCCGGGGAAACTGTCCCATTAATTCCCGGTTCTCAGAAGGTGAGCTCTAAGGCAGATGTTTTCAAGATCTGGTCCACAGGCCAGCAGCATCGGTATGACTTGGGACCATGTTAAAAATGCAAACTCTTGGACTCTGTCCCAGACCTACTGAGTCAGAAGCTCCAGGAACGGGGTCTAGAAATCTGTGTTCTGACCACCCCCTTACCCTCGGGTGTTTCTGCTGCTTCACGCTGACATTTGGGAACTGCTGCTCTAGGGAACCCCAAACCAGGCATTCCGAGGTTTCAACAACGGGCATTACCTGCGTAGAGCACAGAAGAACTCTCCACGTCTGAACCGAGGTGGTTAGCTACAGAGCATCCATACGTTCCTTGTTCCTTCTTTGTAGGGTTCCGTATTTGCATTTTTCCCATTCCAGCCAAGATTATCCTGTAGAACAGTCAGAAAGGGGTGAATTCACGTGATGTACTTCACTGCTTTGGGCCCACAGCATGTCTCAGGGAAAAGAAGACTGCAAAATTAGACCCTGGGTTGGCAAGGATCCTGCCCATAAGACTGGAGGGTGGAAAAGTCTTCCTCCTGCGCTTGAGCTCAGAGACATGGTAGCTGGACAGTGCTTGGAGAGCCAGTCTTCCTGCCTCACTTTGCATGAGAAGAGACTTTTCTGGATGGACTCAATGCTTACTCTACCACATTTTCAAAAGGACAAACAAGCAAGCATCAGCTGGCAGGATGTTAACCCCTCATCTTGTGTCCAAATCCTTCCTCACGAACAGCAGGTATGGATGTTTCAGTTTGGATTTTCACACCGGAAGTGAGTGGGTCGTCAGTTAATGCTGCTTGACTCTAGCTGTTACCTCACCATGACTGTACAAAAAAGTCACTGGGGCAACAGTGCTAAGGCTGTGTTATATTGGACTTGGAGCAGGCTGTTCTGAATCAGGGCTGACCTGTATGAGTGCCGTATGGTTTCCCCATTACTGATCGCCATAAACACCTGCAGGTAAATAGCACAAGAATCAGAGTTGTTCAGGTGTATCCTGACGGATGAGGTCATTATTCAGGGAAGAGGAAAGGATGCTTGTTCTGCTTTTATTTTAATTTTTTCTTAACGATTTGAAGCTGCTTCTCGATCACCTGGATCAGTGGTCCGTATACTGTTTTCTTCCCGGCTGCCTCCCACTTTCCAGATCTCAGCCATACGGACTATTCTGACCACTAAATGCTGTGTGTTTCTTCATGAACTGAGCTGGGGCCACTTCTCCATTTCCTGTCACTTCATGTTGCTCACCCTATGCTCTAGCCGTAATGAGCCTCTAACAGTTTCCAGAACATTCTATGATCTTTCATCACCCCGAGCGTTTGCATATGTTGTTCACTGTATTTGCAATGCCCTCCCCCCTTCCCATTCTGGCAAACTCTGACTTACCCACTGAATCCTGGATCAAATATAATTTTCCCTGTAAAGCTTTCCCCAGTACTCCTAGAGTTATCTTCTCCCCCTCTGGGCTCCTTCTGCTCTGGTTCATATATTTATTTGATGAAATATCTATTTCTTCCCACCAGATTGTGATCTTTTCAAATGCAGGGACCAAATCTTATTCACAGCTGTGCGTCGACTGTGCCTAACACAGTGAATTCTGTATAGAAAATTCTCAGAAACCTCCAGCGACTAAACGTACGAACGGTCAGAATACAACAGAATCATGGTGCAGTGTGTGCGTACCAGCAGGACACAAGCCCCTCTGCAACACACATAGGAAATACACAAAAGTGGGCAGAAATACAGCTGCGGAATTGCCCGGACCAAAAACAGGACTACGACAGACCTAGCTATTAGCAGGGTCAGCCTCCACGCTAACACCTGGCGTCTAAAATCTAAAACCCCTAATAAGGAATAGTCGAGTAAGAACAAGAATAGAACGAGTAACTGCATTTGAAAAATAAATACACTAAAATGTTTTCTTCAATTATTTCATATACATGTTTATATGATTTAGCAATCCTCTAGCAATCCCTTTGTTCTGTAGGTCTCAACAGCACAGAGAGAACTCATGTGAACCTTACTTCTGAAGGAGCCGTCCCGGGATCCAGCCTGGGTCAAGTCCCTGGGCTGGAGAACAGCAGGTAGGGTCCCATAAGGGATGTGACCTCGGTGTCTGCTGGACAACCTTATTCTTTTTTTTTTTAAAGATTTTTTATTTATTTATTTGAGAGAGCGAGAATGAGAGAGAGAGAGAGCACATGAGAGGAGGGAGGGTCCGAGGGAGAAGCAGACTCCCCGCCGAGCAGGGAGCCCGATGCGGGACTCGATCCCGGGACTCCAGGATCATGACCTGAGCCGAAGGCAGTCGCTTAACCGACTGAGCCACCCAGGCGCCCCTGGACGACCTTATTCTTGACAAAGCTGATGTTTCCACAGCCATCAGCCCCAGGGAATCTACCCACAGTCCGCCCTTCCTGGCTGAGATTTCTTACCCAGCTAGCATCCAAACGCCTACACCCCTACATGCTTTCTTCTCACTGGATAGAAGCTCTCAGAAACGTAATTCCATTTCCAAGTTACTTCGACTGAAAAGACATGTGAGATTCAGAAAAAAATGTATCTAAAGGTGAGAACATTTGTTTCATCAAGGAAATGAAACGTAAGAGGAACAAATTAATTAGGTAAGTTTGAGGAAGAAAATCGAAATAAGAGTGGATTTTATTTTTTTTTTATTAAACTTTTAACAGCCATATGGAACTGCTTCGGTATCAAACAGCTGATCCCTAAAGTATGCAGAAACACATTTGGACCGGATGTACCGTGTCAAAACCTTTCTTCATATGACCTCCAGGAGTCTCAGGCTCAGAAGCTAATGTTAATTCCATGCGATCAAGTCAAACTATTTGAAATCAACTCAACAAACATTTACTTAAACTGGCCATGCTCTACCACACCCCTGCCCTACAGATCCAACCACAGGTGAAGCAATCACTTCAACTTGCTCAGCCTCTTCTTATAAAATGAAAATTGCTGAGCCGTCCTCAAAGGGCGGTCCAGGGACCCCCAGAGGTTCGGGAGGTCAAAGCAATTTTCATTGCTAAGCCATTATTTGCCTTTCTTGCTGTGTTGACATTTACACGGATAGCAAAAGCATTGGCAGGTACAATTCTGGGGTCCACGTGCACCGGGAGTCCCCATGTTCTTGGCCACCATGCACTTGCCACAGAAACAAAAATGCATTTCCCTTATGAATGTCCTTAATGAGGCATGAGATTTAACTGGTTTTACTAAACCTCAACCCTTAAATATGTATATGTTTAATATTCTGTATATAGAACGGGAAGTAAACACAAAGCGCTACATGTCTGATTTGCTAGCTGAACGAGCCGGTTTTGTTTTGTTTTGTTTTGTTTTGTTTTTCAGGGAATACGATTTTTACTTGAAAGAATGGCTAACAAATTATAATCATTCAGATTGGGGTATATGGCAGCAATTTTTTAAAAAACTTAACTAAAAGGAGCTGGCCCATTCAAGGAAAACAACAGACAGTGTTTAATTTTCACAAACTTCCACGCTAAAATTAAAATTTTGGAAAATTAGTATCCTCCATTGTGAGCTTGACAGCTATGTGTATTCTTTACATCATCTAAGGAAACGGGCCAACACTGGGGAGATCGGTGTAACTCGGGGAGCTAATACTTTCCAAATGACCAGTGTGTGATATTATAAAACCATGTGTAGGTAAAAGAGCCATTGAAAGTGCAAGATAAGGCAATATTTCGCTGTAAGGTAGTAACAAAATTTCATCAATATGGCTTTAAAGTCCACATTCCGGCTGACCTTTCAGAAGTTACCACTAGGCCAGGTTTAGTGTAGTCGTAAAGAATAGCCATGATTAACCGAAAAGGCTATGAAAATGTCCCTCTTTTCCCAACTCCCATAGCTGGATGAGGCCAAATTTTCTCTATCAACTTTACTTAAAACAACATATCACACCAGATTTAACGGAGAAGCATTTATGAGAATCCAGCTGTGTTTTATTAAGCCAGACATTAAGGAGATTTGCAAAGATATAAAACAGTGCCATTGTTACCAGTAATTTTCCTTAAATATTGCTTCTTCAAAAATTGTTATTTATGAAACATGTGATGGGCTTATTGTTATTTCTAAATGGATTCATAAATAGATATGTTAAGTGTTTTATGTTTTAATTTCTAATATGGTAAATATTGATAGCTATAACTCACATTAATGAAAGCTCTTTAGGCTTCTCAGGGAAGATTTTAAAGTTTTTTTGGTTCAAAAGGGTCCTAAGGCCAAAAGTTTTGCGAACTGCTAAGCTAGTTGATCTGGAAGGTTTATTCCACTGGGAAAACAACTTTACACTCTTCTGTTCAGAGTTCTGGGGCCAAAAATGAAAAAGTTAAATTTGTTCTACCTTTTCACTCTAAGGTACAGCCTAATAATTTATTATAAAAAATTGGAGTTTTACCTAGATTTCTTCTGCTGTTTCACATATTAGGCTCAAATGCACTAAAAGACATGATAAAAATAAAATTTGCATTTTTAAAGTACAATATGGTCTGCAAAGCAATATAACATCTGCTGTTCTGTTTCTCTTTAACAATCCCTAGAGGCAGCTTGGGCTCTCTGAATGCAAACTAAAAGAAAGCAAAGAATCTCCAGTCCTGTGTGTACAAACAGGAAGATTTAAGAGACTGAAGAATGCAGAAATGAATTAATATTTGTTAGTCCCTATTTTATGTGAAATGAATGAAATGTGCTATCTTTGTACTGACATGGAGATCATAATAAAAATAGGACTTAATATCGTGTTATGAACATCTCAAAAACTTTGATCCTTATTTTTGGATTTTATGACATAACAAATTGCATGATACAGAAAAGTGCTTCAGATACTGAATCTTTCTACTAAGGCTGTTATTTGTGTGATATCCAAACATCCCTGGTGGTGTTCAGGAAATATGGTCCCTGGTTCCGGATGGCCGTGAATTAGTCTTGGGATTCTGTCTCTCAGTGACCTCATCAGAAAACTATTAATCTCTGCCCTGCCAACTCTCGGGGCCAACGTGAACTCCAAAGAGATACCACATCTCCCAGGTATAGAAGGGCACCGTAAATAAATTCTGATTTGGGATTACTGCAAGGGTGATTACTTTTTTGAGGCCTTATATGGATTTTGTTTTTAAATAATGTTAAGTGCTCTGCAAAGAGAGAGGCTATACATGCTTAAACTCAGTCTGACTGTACCCAGTCTTGGTAATGAAGGGGATGGTAGGGTTTAATTTTAAAATTCCAGTGCATATCTGAAAAACACATCCCAGCTTTTTTTTTTTTTTTTTTTTTTTTTAGTCTCTTTCCTAAAGAATCCTGTTGGAAACACATTCTCAGGAGAAGGAATTTGAAAGTCTTTTCAAGAAAACTGGAATGCCCATTAAGAAGGTATGACACAGTGAACACTATTCTTTTACTTACTTTTCTGAGGGTTGCAACAAGGCCCCATCCTTGGTCCATGTATACGTGGCCTGACTGGGGGTAACGAGCTCACACAGTATGTTGATGACCTCTGTCCTTTCTGTAATGTACACTGTATTTCCAATCCTTGAATTTATTGTTTTATTAAATGAAATCGAGGTGGGCTGGCTTTGCCTCATGAGAACAGGTCCCTTCGGCTTGAAGGTCAGCTTGCCTGAGTTCTCCATACCCGAGACTTGAGGCACCCTTCTCGTTCCCCCCCTCAGCTGTGCGGTGGGAGGCACCCCTTCCTGGACGCCCCTCCACGGCTCGCGGGCTGGCCGCACCTTGGCTAACTCGGCCACCAGCTGATAGATCACCTGGGACGCGAGGTCATCACTGACCTCTCCAGTTTCCATGAGCTGACTCATGTTTCTGATCAGCTCATCAAACTGGGCCATATCCATGCTATATGCTCCGTGTTTAACTGCTGCTTCAAACTGCTTGTTCTTCAACTCCCAGGAGTTGGTGCTGCCTGCAGAATTCCTGCATGGGCCCAACAGAGCCCTCAAGAAAGGCTGCTCAGCAATTTGGCCGTCCTCCGGATAAAGCTCATTTTTGTTACCCCATAGCTGCCTCATTTTCTGCCACGTGGCTCCCAAGCTATTGGCTTCCTTGGGGTCCATCCCCGGATACTCCCGCACGTGCTCCCCGAGCACTGGGGGCGCAATGAGCCGGTTGTCTGTGCCGATGAGCTTGAGTACTGCGGTTTCCTGCGCAGAGCCGGCCACGCAGCGGTACGTGCCGATATCCGGGGCCGCAAGGCTGTGGATTTTTAGGGAGCCCGACTTGGTGATGCCAAGCCGTTTGGAGTTCTGCAGACAATGGCCATCCTTCTCCCACTGGATCAGGGATTTCTGGAATCGTCGTACTGGGCATTTGATAATCACCGATGTGTTGGGCAGCAAATAGGCTCTGCTACCCACCGTCAGGTTAATGCGCTTCTCTTCCCTTGTCTGAATGTAGACCCTCTGAACACCGAGGATCTGGGGCCCCTGCTCCCCAGGTTTTGTCTTTGGCTCTGGTTTGATTTCTGCAGGCGGAAAAAAGAAGGAAAATACAAACAAATATCTCAATAATATAAGCTGACAGTAGTCTTCCAAGGCTGATGCAAGTCAACAAATGTGTATTTTTTTCCTCTTTTAAAACAGCTGACAGTATATACAGTGGAATATTACTCAGCCACCAGGAAGGATGAATACCTGCCATCTACATCAACGTGGAATAAATCAGAGAAAAACAATTCTCATATGGTTTCACTCATGTGGAATATAAGAAATAGCACAGAGGATCATAGGGGAAGGGAGGGGAAACTGGGAAGAAATCAGAGAGGGAACGAAACCATGAGAGACTCTGGACTCCGGGAAACAAACAGAGGGTGGTGGAAAGGGAGGTGGGTGGGGGGATGGGGCAACTGGGGGATGGGCATTAAGGAGGGCACATGAAGTGATGAGCGCTGGGTGTTATAGGCAACTGATGAATCACTGAACACTACATCTGAAATTAATGATGTACTATATGGTGGCTAATTGAATTTAAACTAAAAAAAAGGAAAAAAAACAGCTGACAATGAAAAGATAAATAACGGAATGCCATATATCCACAGACTGAGGTAAACTTCACAACTATCTAGTACTTTAGCAGTGAAGAATGGAAATTTGAATGAATGGCATACAATGTATAAATGATTTTCCAAAGCCCTGGTTTGGGGAGATGTGAGGTGAAGGGTTTGTATTAATAAGGGGGTGTCTGATATTTCAGACCTCCACCACCCACGTTCTAACCATTGCCTAACCACAACATGCCTATACTGTGGGATAGAGGCCCCAAATATCAGATACCCCCTTACTGATACGGCTCGGCCAGAGGCACATCAGCCCTGCAGGAGAAAGCAGCAGTGGGGAAGTGAGCGAATGCATCTGAAGGATCTGGAGGTGAGGACAAGGTGGCTAAAGGTAGCAGATAACCGGAGCAAGTCAGTCAAAGCAGCAGGGCCTGAAGAAGTGTGTGAGCTCAGAAGAAAAGGGAGAACAGGCACTTTGAAGCCAGACAAACCTGAGGTTGGATCTTAGCTCTGCCCCTCGGACAAGTCACCTGATCTCTCTGAGCCTGTTTTCCCACCTAGGAAATTCGGGTGATGCTAGTGACTTCATCAGGGGAGCGTGAAAGTTTGGTGGGACGTTTATACCAAATGCATGGCACAGTAGTGGGTACATGATACGTTCTCATGCATGACCTCAGTGACCCCGAGAGCTGACAGAGGGCAGTCCGAGAGAGAGTGAGAGAAGTGAGAGATGGGGCTGGCTCTAGCTTGTTCCTGGACATGGGCTCTAGTGAATGGCCTCGGCCCAAAGAGGATACACCTTAGGTCTCTCCTTTGGAAGAGGAACCTGCCGGAAGGTCTTGCTGTGTTCCAGGGTGATTCTGAAGGGAGGGAGGCACAGTGTGGGTGGAAACCTGGTTCCTCTTTGATGATACCCTTAGGTCCATAGGGACATGGAGGACCTAGAAACAGCAGGGCGTGACAGAAGAGAGACTGGACTCCTATGGAACGTATTGCTAGATTCAGAAGGTCATGGGATCAGGGGCCTCATTACCTTGGAGGATCCCGGTTATAGGTCCTCTGGGTTGAAGCACTTCCAGGGATACACTAGGAGAAGAATCAGACTGAGTCTCCACTTAGACGGCCCTCTCAGACCCGAGGCAGTAGCTATGGTGGGTCTACTGATACCCTGTTTTTCCAGAATAACTCTTGGCGTCCTCTTGGGTGGCTCATGAGCCCCACAGGGTCTAGCTGCTTGCTGGGGTGCAATGGTACCAGTGCATTCAGGAAAACAACAGGGGTGAACCCATAATTTCTACAGTAGATGTTCTTGGTGAAGGACGTGCATAATGAGTTTGTGTGCAGATCCCACAGAGGTGGGATTGGTAGGTCAGGACTGTTGTCCTGGGGTCTGCCCTTGGATGTTCCTCGGCTCATCTCTAAGTGGAGCTGGACGACCTGCCACACACAACACGCTTCCCTGTTGAATACAGTCTCTGCGGAGGATGCCAAGCTCACCCCCGCCAGCCGAGGCATACAGATTTCCTTTCAGTTGGCAGCATAGGATGTGGAACGTACTGTTGCACGTTCAAAAGCAGGAAGAAAATGTATGAATTCATTGGTAAATGCACAGTTTATCCATTATTATAGGCAGAGATGCCATCCGAAATACTTGGCAATGTGCACAGCAAGGGTGTGCAGACAGAGGCTATTTACGAACCATTTGGGAAGTATGTCCATATTTTTTTTTTCTTTTTGAGAGAGAGAGAGAGAAAGAGAGAGAGAATCTTAAGCAGGCTCCGCACTGATGCAGGGCTCCATCTCACAACCCTGAGATCATGACCTGAGCTGAAATCAAGAGTCGGATGCTTAACCAATGAGCCAGCCAGGTGCCCCAAGTATGTCCATATGTTAACAGCCAGTAAGTGGAGGTTCAATATAAACTAAAGTCTCACATTTCCCTGCCTGTTAGAAGCACCTGTATTATTACTTGTTCATCTCAATGCCCTAGGTCCCATCCCCAGAAACTGTGACCTAAGGGGTATAGCCTGGGCACTGAAATTTGGTTAAGATCACCGGGTGCCTGCAATGTGCAGCAAAGTTTGAGAACCCCTGCCCCCGAGCGTACCTCTGGATTAAACCAAGTCAGCAAAGAAAGGCATTCCTGACCCCATTTCTTTTACTGAAAGGCAACATGATGGGATGTTGCCGATCAAGAGAGAAGACAGAGTAAGAAATCAGCACCTGTGTTCCCTGTGCAAACCCTACCAAAGTCTGTACAGCATGTAGTGTCTTCTGGAAGAAGACGGAAGGAGGGTTTCTTTCTGCCCTCAGCCTCAGGGATCATCATACCCTGAGTAATTAGCTCATCTCCTATCCAATGCATGCCAAACTGTGTCACTGACCAGGCTGCTGCTTCAAGATCGCTGCATGTTGGCAAGTTTAGAGCCTAATCTGTGCCCACAGATAAGAGGAGTGTACAACTCAAGACAGAATCACGTATTCGCCTCATTTGTTTTCCTTTCTCGTTCCTTACCTACTTCTAATTTTCTTACCTGGTTGCATCTCGTGAATGCTTCTAAGTGGCCGATCACTGTCACAAGGCAGGGTATGTGTGCCTGCATGTACATGTACACACGTGAGCACAGTGTCTACACAGATGTGTGCACATCTCCCTATACAGAGTTCTCACGGTTATTTATAAGGATCTATTTGAATACCCTGTCTGGTCATTGGTCTCTCGGTGTCCGACAATGGAAAGATGGATAACTTCAAATCACAACACCAACTGGGCCAAACTCAGGTTTTTGAATTCGTGCAACTGAGGCATGTGAAGAGACAGGCTCTTTCAGGGTAGCCATGATGCGAAGGATGAGGTCATAGCTGGAGTGTTCCTGCATTTAACCGGGATGCGGAAGCCCACGTGGGCAATGCAGTACACCAGTCTAGCTGAATGGTTCAGGCTGGGGATGATTTGAGGCCGGTATAGGCCCACACAGCATCCCGATGACCCAGAAGCAGCCATGGATGTGGGTTCTAATTAACTTAAGTCCACTGGTAGCCAGATGTTCCTCAGTTAAGCCCGAGGCTTAAACTAGATGGGGCCCTGACTCTATCCAAGGCAGCCTGGGAAGTCTAAAGGTGATGGGAAGTATTCAGCCTTGGCGAGGAAGCTGCCCAAGGGGCTGGGTGAGCCACATGAGAGGCCACCTGCCCCCTCTGGCTGCATGCCCATTCGTTGGAAGGTCAGCCCTGTGACCCTGGCTGGCTCGGTTCCCAACCCTGCTTTCACAAGTGCTCATGCTGGGTACAGAGCAGGTGAGCTAGCAGGTGTGCCTGGGGAGTGATCTGTGATTCGGGCTCTGCCAGGCTGCCAGGTTCCACAGCGTGGACCAATTCTCTTGGGACTCCTGTGGGCTCCTTTGGAGAAGTGCCCGGAGCATGACACCATTGCACACAGTTCTTAGGCAAGAACTGGTCTGGTTTCGGGTGACTGCCTCCTTCTGCCCCTAGACAATGCCCCCAGACTACAACAGTGGCTAAGCCTCATCAGGGAGGGCATCATCTACTGTGCAGAGAGTGGTCAAGTCCCTATGGCATCCTCCTGAAGGGGCCACGGGCCCGTGCAAGGGTACCGACCCATCCCTCCACCTCTCCCGCTGTGCTGGATGTGAGAAATGCCACATCGTCTGGCTTTTCTAGAAAACGCAAAGATCTCTCTTCTAGAGATCTTCCTTCTGGGCCTCTGGGCCAGCCTGCCCTACCCAACAGAGGCCAGCCCTGGGCACCTGGGGCTGTTTACTGCGATTGCATCTCAGCTCCTTGCTTGTTCGTGTCCTGCCTTAATTCCAGTCCTGTCCCTGCCATACCTCTAAGCCTTGGTGCCAGGCCAGCTTTCTGCCCCATGCCATCTGGGCTGCATATTTACACTTGGTCTCGCCAGCATGGGCCTCCAGCCACGCCCGAACGGGCTTCAGCGGCAATGCGGCCGCTAAGCCTTCCTAGAACCCGGCTGCACCCGGCTGCAATGCCAGCACCATCAGAACCCACCCCTGAGTGTGGCTGCTGGGCTGGCGCTGGCCCCCAAGCCCTCCACTAGCACTGAAGAGCCGGCAAGCTCATCTGGAGCTCAGTCAAGACTCTGGGCACGCTGGACTCTCTCCAGATTCCTCTGAGGGTGGAAGCACGGGCGGGAGCCAAGGGGGAGGCAGGGGTGCTTCGGGTAGGACTCGCTAAATGAGCTGTGACGTCCCGGCCGCCCCAGGGAAGCCGGCTACTATAAATGCCACATCAGCCTGACAATGGCTTCTGTTTATTGCCTCTCTCGGGCACTTTCCAACCAAACGCCGCTGGGCTTCTACTTGCAGCTCCCCGCTAAACGCTCTCTGGGAAAGGCCACCCATGGTCCGTCCCCCCTGGTGACAAATACAAAGTCTCCCTTCCGAGTTCTTACGTGGCCATTCTAGGACATGTGGCACCTTTAAGCACTC